AATCTGGGAGAACCGGGTTTGATTCCCCACTCCTCCTCCGCATGCAGCTTGGGTCAGTCACAAGTTCTCTCTCAGAGCTGTTCTCTCAAGAGCCGTACTCTCAGAGCTCTCTCAGCCCCGCCTACCTCACAGGGGTGTCTGTTGTGGCGAGGGGGAAGGGAGAGGAGTCTGTAAGCCGCTCTGAGACTCCGAGTGAAGGGCAGGGGATAAATCCAGTCTCCTCCTCCTCCTTCTCATCTTGGCTCCTAAGAGCTTCCCTGGTGAGTCTGGGTCAGGCCCCCTCTCACCCTCGCCCGTCTCGCAGGGCTGTTGCGATGGGCAAACTGAGGAGGGAAGGACGGCGCACGTCGCCTGGAGCTCCGTGGAGGAGAGGAGGGCTCGACTCGTGATCGACCAGGCTCCACTCCAGCCAAGCACTCAGTGGCACCTGCTGCTCGTCCTGGCCATGGGGCGGGGCAGCCCTTGAAAGCAGGTGTGTTGGCGCCGGGCATGATCCAACATTGGCTTAGGTTATCTGAGGAGCGTAACTCTCTTCCAGGAACATAATGGAGGAGACGGTCCCATAGATACCTCGGTCCCCGACTGCTCAAGGCCTCGTAGGTCAGTAGCAAAACCTTGAACTTGACTCAATATTCCTCAGACTGCTGCAGCATCCGCGTCATCTACACACCAGGTACCCAAATGCCAAGGAGGCTGGACTATTCCTAAAGCTTCCCAGGCCCGTGGACCTTAGGATGGGACCCCTATGCCCAGCGAGGCCTCAGACGCTCTCTCCCCTGTATATGCAAGCGTTCATGCATCTGAAGAAGCAGAGCTGTCTGGCGGACCAAAGGGGATGCCCTCATGTGTGAATGTCTTTGGTCGGAAGGTGCCGCAGGACCCTGGTTCTTTCAGCCGGGCCGAGACCACGGCAGACTCCGGCTCCAGTGGGGCTCACCGGCATTTCCTCTCCTGGGCAGATGCAATTATTTGGTGTCAGCATGGTTTTGTCCCCAACAGACCTTGTCAGATCAACCAGGTTTCCTTCTCTGATCGTGTGACGAGCTTACTGGATCGTGGGAACTCTGTTGATCTGATTTCCCTGGATTTCAGTAAAGCTTTTGGTAATGTTCCCCATGACATTCTGATGGGCAAACTGGAAGACTGTGGGCTAGACTATAGGACAGTTCGGTGGATCGGGAACGGGTTAGAGGACCCCCCCCAAAGAGTGGTGGTCAATGGCGTTTCTTCACATTGGAGGGAGGTGCTGCGGGGCTCGGTTTTGGGCCCGGTACCTTTCAATATTTTTATCAATGATCTGCATGAAGGGGTAAAAGACCCATGAAATTTGCTGATGATACCAAATTGGGAGGAGTAGCCGACACCCAAGAAGACAGAGTTAAAATTCAACAAGACCTGAATACTCTGGAGAAGTGGGTGGTTGCAAACAGGATGCAGTTCAACAAAGATAAATGCACAGTATGACATCTGGGCCACAAAAGTGTCAAGCACAAATACTGGACGGGGGATACGTTTCTGGGGAGTAGTGCATGCGAAAGAGCTCTTGGGGTAAGAGTGGACTGTAAACTAAGTATGAGCAGTCAGTGTGACACGGTGGCAAAAAAGGCAAATTCGGTCTTGGGTTGTATTCAAAGGGCCACAGCATCGAAATCGCAGGAGGTCACAGCCCCTCTGTAGACTGCCTTGGTCAGGCCGCACCTGGAGTCCCGTGTGCAGGTCTGGAGGCCTCGCTTCAAAAAGGATCGAGAGGGTGCAGAAGAGAGCGGCGAGGATGACCAGGGGTCTGGAGACTGAGCCCTACGAGGAAAGGCTGAGGGACTTCTTGGGAATGTTTAGTCTGGAGAAGAGGAGATTGAGGGGGGGACATGATCGCTCTCTTTAAATATCTGAAAGGCTGTCCTTGGGAGGAGGGCAAGGAGCTGTCCCAGTTGGCAGCAGAGGACAGGACCCGAAGCAACATCGGCTGGATATCAGGAAACACTTTTTCACGGTCCGAGTGGTTCAGAGGCGGAATCAGCTGCCTTGTAAGGAGGTGGTGAGCTCCCCTTCACTGGTAGCTCTCAAGAAGAGGCTGGACAGATATTTGTCAGAGAGGCTCCAGGCTGGCCCTGCATTGGGCAGGCGGCTGGACTACTAGACGGTCTGTAGGGCCCCTCCGAACTCTGTGTGATTCTAGGGTTCTATGAAAGAGAGATGGACAGGCCCTCCCCAGGAGCTCTTTGCCCGGCAGAGGCCTGGCTGTCCTGTGCTATGCGGACGAGTATCAGGCGTCCCTCCTGCCCGTGACCAGGCCAGCAAGCATTTCTCTGCCGGGGGTGCTGCAGGAGCGAGGCGGCCTCTCAGGGCTGCGGCAGGAACAGCTCCGGACTGGTTCCAGCGCGCCTCATCTTTCTAATCTCCCTGCCTGGGACACAAATTCCTCAGGCCAAAGCTCAGAGGCAGATGCTGCTCAGGTATTTCAAACAATCCCACCCTCTGCAATTATTAGAGGAACAGAACACCAACCTGTTGCCGGGAAGGGGGGGGGGACACGACACCCCCCTCCAGTCAATGTTCCCGCAGCACCGCCGGCCTCCATCCCCCCTCCCCCCCCGACAACTGGCAGGCGGTGGGGCCTCCCACCTGAGAGCAGAATGCAGACGCCGCCACTATGGGGGCTGCACTGCCGGCTCGTGGGTGCCACCTCTCGCCTGCTCCCAGCCCTCGGGTCTGTTCCAGCCCAAAGGGAGTGGCACGCTGTGTCTGGCGCACGCTGGTCGTTTCTGAGAGAGCTCCCAACCAATGCCTCCCTCTAAGCTGCGGAGGCCTGTGAGCAAAAATTCTGCTTTGTGAGCTCCTGGCATGAAAGTGGTGAGCGAGCGATTTGGCTGCTGCATAAATGCGTTTGCTCTGGAGCCCCGTCCTTCCTAAGCAAGGACAAAAATGTGTGAGCCAGAGGTTAGAAAACTGTGAGCTAGCTCACGCCAACTCAGCTTAGAGGGAACACTGCTCCCCGTGTGTGTGTGTGTGTGTGTGTGTGTTTGGGGTGGGTAGGCCGTCTTTCCCAAGCCACGTGCCTGGCCCCACACATGTAACAGGGGTGTGCGGGAGGGGCCCCCAAGGGGAATGCGGAGCCTCTGGGCTTGGGCGGCTGGGCCCTGGGATTGATTGACTAAGCCCAGATGTGGGCAGGGCACCTTCCCCTCTTGGGGTCAGTGCCCTTTCCTCCTCGCCCACACCCCGGCCACTTCCTGCCCAGGTCACCTCTCTGGCGTGATTCCGGAGAGCTGACGGGAGCACAAAGGCAGCCTGTGGCACTCCCTGCGGCCGGCTGCCGAGCAATTCGGAGGCCTGTCCTCTCAGCCCTGTCGATGTCCCCAGGATGGCGAAATGCGACGGTCGGACCAGTCCCGGACTTCGGGATGAGTAAGAGGAAGATGCTGCTGCCGGGAGACAGGCCGGCCTGTCCCCACTTGCAAATCGTGTGGGAGGGGTGGTGGCTGGTGGTGCAAAAGCGTGGGCTGGGTGAGGAGCGGCCTTCCTCAAGGTCAGCGCCATCCCAGCAGCAGCCGCCGCCCGCAGAACCCGTTGTGCCACCTCGTCTCCCGCAAGACACCCGGCCCCTGCCCTCCCCGGCCAGGAGGCCGGTTCCGAAGCCGGCTCTCCCCCCCTCCCCACGATTTATGATGAAATACATATTTACATTTGGCTCCTCACCTCCGTTGACTTGGGGAGGGCCGTGCCCCTTAAGAGATCTGCCCAATAAAACCAAGCGAAAGCGGCAATTAAACCGCAAAGTATTGTTTACTGACACGGGTCCAGACTGTCCGTGCACCTGCGTCACCCCAGCCGTTAAAAACCGGCCTGGACCAGAAGGACTCGCAAGACTGGCAGGGCTCTCGGGGGGTTGCATTTGACGTGCCAGTCGCTGCACTCTTTGCCATCCTGAGGGGCACAGCTCAGAGGGAGTTCCCCGGGACAGTCGCCAAGGGGGGGGGGACACGGTGGCAAGGCCCCAAGGAGTCCTGACCGGGCCGATGTCACCCCCCCACACCCCAACGGCCATTCATCAAGCCTTGCCAGGAGGCACTTCTGGGAAACGCACACCTGGCGAGAGCCCACACCCTGGGCAAAGCACACAGAACAATGACTGGCACGGAACCTTCCTGCAATCGGAAACTGGGCACTCGAGAGGTGCCAAGAAGCCTCCAGAAGGGCCGGCGGCCTCCCCAGCCAAGCTCTGGCCTTCCAGCGCTCACACGGGAACGGGGCCACCCCCGGAAGGAACCCATCCCATCGGTTCTTCCAGGCCCATTTTGTTTTCCTTCCTCCGGGAAACCCCCAATGGCTTCCCACACCCAGGGAGAGTCCTGGAGGGGCACAAACACCCCAGCTGGGGCAAAAAGCCAAGGGCGAAGAAGAATCCCCCCGTGGGGTAGGCCTGCCGGGGGGTGGGCGGGCTGGGGAGCCCTCCAGCGTGTGTGAAGCTGGTGGGGGAGGGGAGGTGCTCCTTCCAAGTCTTTGCTGTGGGGCAGACCCAGGGGGACCCAGCTGGTGGTCCTGGGCAGTGCCCCTCTAAGCTGAGTCAGTGTGAGCCAGCTCACAGTTTTTTAGCCCCCGGCTCACACATTTTTGTCTTCGCTCAGGGAGGAGGGCTCCAGAGCAAACTAGTTTATGCAGGAGCCAAATGGCTCACTCACAGCTTGAATGCCAGGAGCTCACAAGGTAGACTTTTTGCTCACAGGACTCCACGGCTTAAGAGGGAGAGCCTTGGTCCTGGGGAGCACGCCCACCTAGAGGTCCCTTATTCGTGGGGCGGGGAGAGACAGAGAGAGAGAGAGAGAGAGAGAAGAGAGAGAGAGAGAGAGAGAGAGAGAGAGAGAGAGAGAGAGAAAGAGGAGGGGAGGGTCGCACGGAGATATTTTCCCTCCTTCCCACCCCCATTTTCTAAAGAAGGACAGAAGCTGTCATTTCTAAAAAAACACACACCAAATGTTTATTGCAGATCTCTCCCTCCCGCGTACACTTCCCCCCCAGCCTCCATCCTTGGCAGATGCTACGTAATTCCGCAGACACAAACGGCAAGTCCACGAAGCGTATCCTGCACATTCTCTCCAACTCGCTCTCTTTGGGACATAGGAAGCATCTCCTCCCCCCTCCCCGCCAAGCCCCACGCAGCCCTTCTGCGGATGGGGAAAGTCCCACACCCACCTCACCCCACCGGCACGCTGGGGGGGGGCAGCCGGTCCCCCCACAGGTGTTGCCAGGAGCCGGAAGAGACATCCGTCTGCAGTCTGTAGGGCGGTGGTGGTGATGGTGGTGGTGTTCCCCAGTGAAGAGGTAGTTGCTCCCCCCCATGCCCCCTCCTCCCCAGCTAGCTTGGCATAGGAATCCTTTCCACCCTGGGGAAACGAGCCTTCCCCACCCCCGGCCCCCTTTGGAGCACCGCCTGGGTCTTGGCTGGGCTTCTTGGAGCCAAGACGAAGGTCAGTTCCAGATTCCAGCCAGGGGCACAGCAGGGCATCGCCCCCCCCTTCCGCCACCCCACAGCACTGGGGCCGGCTCGTCCCGAGGAACGGCCCGTCGGGTCTGTCCCCCCCCCAGTGCGGTGCCCGGAATCGCCCTCAGGGCGCCCGTCCCCCCTCGCGGGTGTCGGCCATTTGCTGCTCCCGGAAGGTGCTGCTGTCCAGGTGGAGGGTGCTGTAGGTGGGTGGGGGAGTCCGGGGGGCCAGGCCCTCTGGGGACAGGGGCAGCTGGAGGGCCGTGTTGAAGGTGGGCAGGTCGTTGTCGCCCAGGCAGGCGGGGTTGTCGTGGCCCCGGGAGCCGCCGCGGCCGTCCTCCTCCTCCTCCTCGGGGCCCTGCCCGGGCTCCAGGCCTGCCCCGCCCCTCCGGCCAAGCCACCATTTCTTTGCCTTCTGCCAGCGGCGCCGCAAGATGATGGAGAAGGTGTCGATGAAGAAGACCTCGATGATCTCGAGGACGCAGACCATGGAGCAGCTCATCCACAGGCCCAGCTGGCCCCCGAAGTTGGCCAGGAGGAGGACGATCTGGGGGGGGGGAGGAAGGAAGGAAGTCACTCTCCATGCCCCCCTCTACCGTGCGGAATCTCCTGAGCCAAAATCCTGCTTTGTGAGCTACACTGGCCTTAAAGTGCTGAGCGAGCGATTGGGCTGCTGCACAAGTCAGTTGGCTCTGGAGCAGGGCTCCCCCTAAGCTGAGTGACTTTAGCCTTCGGCTCACACAATTTTTTTCCTGCTTGCCCATTGTTAATGGGCAAGGTTTATTAATTTTTTAAAGAGTTATATAAAACAAAAAAGAGAGCAATACACTTCCAAAAGTATCCAGCCATTGTCTCGTTCCTAACATCTTTAGATACATAATTCCCTTTTTTCCTTTGTTAATCTATAGTCCACAACAGATATCATTAAGTAAAATTCTGTTCCCAATAAACAATTCATTTTTTCTACATCTGCTATTACTATTATTAATCAATTTTATAACAATAAAAATATAAAAGAAAAAAAAAGCAGGTCTTTCACAGCGGCTCACACGTTTTTGTCTCGGCTTGGGAAGGACGGGGCTCCAGAGCAAACTAATTTATGCAGCAGCCAAATCGCTCGCTCACAACTTTAATGCCAGGAGCTCGCAAAGTAGAACTTTTGCTCACAAGACTCCACAGCTTAGAGGGAGCATTGCTCTGGAGCCCCCCATCCTTCCTGAGTGGAGACAAAAACACGTGAGCCGCAGGCTAAGAAACGGTGAGCTAGCTCACATGAACCCAGCTTAGAGGGAACACTGCCCAGAATTAAACTTTGTTGGTCTTTAGCTTAGAGGGAACACTGGAGAAGACCTCCTTCGTGACACACACACCCTCGCTTAGAGTGGAAAGGAAGTCCCCTGCAAGCAGAAAGCTAGCCCCCCCAGGGAAGGAGGCAGCCGGGCCCCTGGAACTACACTTTTAAGCAATGCTCCCTCTCAGGTGTGGAGTCTCGTGAGCAAAAATCCTACTTTGTGAACTGCCGGCATTCAAGTTGTGAGCGAGTGATTTGGCTGCTGCAGAAATGAGCTCTGGAGCCCCATCCTTCCCGAGCTGAGACAAAAATGTGTGAGCTGGAGGCTAAAACACTGCGAGCTAGCTCACACTGACTCAGTTTAGAGGGGACACTGCTCCCAGGGTGTCTGTTGTGGGGAGGGGAAAGAAAAGGAGATTGCAAGGAATGCTCCCTCTAAGCTGTGGAGTCTTGTGAGCAAAAATCCTACTTTGTGAATTGCTGGCATTCAAGTTGTGAGCAGGCGATTTGGCCGCTGCATAAATTAGTTTGCTCTGGAGCCCCATCCTTCCTGAGCTGAGACAAAAATCTGTGAGCCGGAGGCTGAAAAACTGTGAGCTAGCTCACACTGACTCAGCTTAGAGGGAACATTGGACTCACTCTGCCGGGCAGGCATGGAGGGTGGGGGGTGGGGAGGGAATACACCGAGGTACTGAGCGGGTGGGTTGTGGAAAGCGTTGCCAAGTCACATCCTCACGGGGCTTCAAGGCAAGAGGCGCCCAGGGGTGGCTTGCCATTGGCTGCCTCTGCGTAGCAACCTTGGAATTCTTTGGCCGTCTCCCATCCAAACGCTAACCGGGGTTGACCCCTGCTGAGCTGCCAAGCTCTGATGAGACCAGGCTAGCCTGGGCCAGGTCCAGGTCACGACCCCCAGTGTTCCCTCTAAGCTGGGTCAGCGTGAGAGCTAGCACACAGTTTTTGAGCCTCTGGCTCACACATTTCTGTCTCCGCTCAGGAAGGATGGGGCTCCAGAGCAAAGGAATTTATGCAGCAGTAGTCAAATGGCTCGCTCACAGTTTGAATGCCAGTAGCTCAGAAAGAAGAATTTTTGCTCACAAGACTCCACGCTGCTTAGAGGGAGGCACTGGTCAGGCCTGGCCCCGAAAGCAAAGCTCACATTGTTTGCTGGGTTCTCCACAATCAGCCTCTCGTTCAGGTCCTTGTAGAACACCATGAGGTTTGCCAGGTCTGTCCTGAGGAGGAAGAGGAAGAAGATGAAGAGGAAGAAGAAGAGGAAGAAGAGGAGATTGGATTTACACACCACCCTTCCCTTGGAATCTCAGAGAGGCTTACAAACTCCTTTCCCTTCCCCTTCTCCTCCCCACAACAGACACACCCTGTGATGTGTGGAGAGGCAGGATCGGGACCGAGTTTGGCTGGAGGGTGGGACAGCACCCCCCACCCCGCTCAGTGCAGGCACCTCCCTCTCTGGGGCAGCCCCCCCCCCACGGAGAGAGACGGGAGCACCTACTTGTTCAAGACGGCCGTGCTGTCCTTCCCTCGGTTCCAGGAGAGGGCCCGCAGCATCCATTCCTGGAAGGAGAGAGCAGAGGGGTGAATGCAAAGGGAGGGGTAAACGGGCCTCCTTCTGCCGCTCAGAGAGCCACCGAGAGTCCCCCCTCCCCAGGCCCACCTCTGCTGCCAGGTCGGTCCTTTCCCCGCCCCCCCCCCATCTCTCTCTCTCCTGTTTTGTGCACTTGGGAGGAGAGTCGGGCAGCTGAAAGGCGAAGGCTGCTGAGAATCTCTGTCCTGGGTCTTGTGCCCTAGACCATCCGCCTCGGGCGAGCGGCCTGGTGACCGAGGGGCGCTGTGGCAGGGCAGAGACTCACCTCGGACACTGTCGACGGCCACTGGGCCAGGCTGGTAGTGAGGGTCCACTCCTTCAAGCTGAAGAAGAAGGAGGAGATTGGATTTATACCCCCACCCTTCACTACCCAAGGGAGTCTCAGAGCGGCTTACAGTCTCCCTTCCATTCCCCTCCCCACAACAGACACCCTGCGAGGTAGGCGGGGCTGAGAGAGCTCTTTCAAGAACTGCCCATGAGAACG